GGCTCTTCCACAAAATACCACGTGCAGGTGTGCACGTTACAGTGAGATAGAAACTTCGTGGCCCATGCACAGAAGTCAGTATTTTGTGGAAGAGCCACACTGAAGGGGCCAAAGAGCCGCATGTGGCTCGCGAGCTGCGGTTTGCCGAGCCGCAGTTTGCCGACCACTGGCCTAGATCAAATAAGCAATTTCCTAGAAAAACAAAGTTTGAAAATTGTTTTAAAAACATAAACTATAACAATATTTAAGGTGGCAGGGGGAAAAAGTCAACAATAATACCAACAATAATAGAAGCAACAAACACCTATTGTAGCACCAAGGGCTGGGCACCTTTTAAATGCTTGTTCCATGCACTGACTGAGCGGACCCTTACAATTCCATGACACAGGCACTAATGTTAACTTTACAGACGAGAAAACTGTAGCCAATGTGCAGTAACTTGTCCAAGTCTCTCAGCTAATTTACCCAGGAAGTCTTGGCTGCAGAGTTCATTGGCTCAATTTTGCAGGTAAGTTCTACTAAGACCTAAAGGGGCAAATAATTCCTGCATTATAACCAGAGCACAGAAAGAGGAAAAAAAAAAGCTACATCACAGATGAGTCAGATCATGCATATTCCAAATGAGAAAATGGTGACTTTTATGTTATATGCATTTTACCCCAGTCAAGAAATATACGTCTTGAATAAGAAGAAAAAGAGTTCTGGCCAGTGTGGCTCAGCTGCTTGGGCACCATCCATGCACCAAAGGGTTACTGATATGATTCCTGGTTGGGGCACGTGCCCAGACTGCGGGCTCAGTCCCTGGTGGGGAGTGAGCGAGAGGCAGCTGGTCGATGTTTTGTTCTCACATCAATGTTTCTCTCTCTGTTTTCCTCTTCCTTCCTCTCTCTCTAAAAAATCAATTTTTAAAACACTTTTTAAAAAAGCCACATAACTCATACAGAGTGAAGCAAAAGTAGGTTTACAGTTATTCATATGAAAAATAATACAATAATTAAAAAATAATAATACAAGAATAAACTCTCTTTTTTGTACTCACAACTGTAAAGCTACTTTTGCCCCACCCTGCATGTGGTACACAAGGACAGGGCTTCAGACCAATGTCACTTACGAGCACAGATGCAAAAACCCTAAATCAGCAGTCGTCAACCTTTCGGACCTCACGGACTACCAGTGGTCTGCAGACCACCGGTTGGCGACCACTGCCCTAAATGAAATTGTAAGTGGAAACATACAATGGATTAAAAAATAGTACTTTCTGGACAAATAAGGTTTATCCCAAGAATGTAAGGATGCCTCAATATTAGAATATTGACTCAAAATATGAACATCTTAAAGAAAAGGAAACATCTCAGTATATACAGAAAAAATACTCAAGATTCAACAGCTATTTGTGATTTTTTTTAAAAAAAATTCTAAGTAAAAAAGAAATCGAATAGTCATTTCTTGACTCCAAAATCAGCACCAAACTATTAAATATTGTATTAAAGATCTTGGATAATAAGTAAGACAAGGAAAAAAAATATGAGAATTGTAAGAAGAGCCAAACCATCGTTAAATAATATACCCAACACAATCTGATAACCAAAAATAATTTTAGAAAAGTCAGCAAGGTTACAGGTTAGCAAAACCAATAGTATTCAAATACCATTAGATTTTTTATGCAATAAATATTTAGAAAATGAAACAAACATTAACCCTTAAAATAGCAACAAACTGCATAAACTATAAGGGAATAACCCTAATAAAAATGTGTAAGATCCTTACAAAGAAGATTATAAGATTTCACTACAGGACATAAAAGAAAACATGAATGGAGAGAGATGAAATGGAAGGGAGGATTCAATAGCTAAAAGGAGCCAATTTACTCAAAATTAATACATTTAATGCAACCTCACTCAATACTACAACAGAATGTTTCATTAAATTTGCAAACTAAGCTGGAAATTCATATTGAGTACTACAAATGCAACATTAGTCAAAACCATTTTGAAGATCCCAGAAAAGAGGGACCAAGCATTAAGACTTACTGCAATTACAGAAATGTTAAAGTATAACACTGGAAGAGAACCCACAGGCCCACAGCATGGAACGTGACTGGCTCAGGTCCAGAGATGGCCACACACCCATGGGGATTTGGCATCTGATGGAGGTGGTTTTTGACATGGAGTCAGGAAAGTCCTATATTCGTATTAGAAAAGTAATCAGCAAAACTGGATCCCTACCTCATACCATACACACATAAAAATTCTAGACAAATTAAAGATCCAATTTTAAAGTCTATTTTTATATGTATTTAAAAAATAAGAAGATATTGGCATACATCTTTATTGCATCCTGAACCCCCAACTTCTCCAATAAAACAAAACCACCACAAACCCATAAAAGAAGGGATTGATAAATTTGGTTACAGCAAAATGGAAGGTGGAGGTGGGGGTGAGGGGTATCTAATAACAAAAATACGCAATATTAAAAAGAAAAACAAGATATCAAGAGAAATTATTTGCAACTTGTATACAACAAGACTGGTGCTCAGAACCTATAAATAACTCTTAAAAACCAGTAAGAAGAAGACAACAGAAAAATGGGTGAAGAATGTATGAAGAAGCAGTTTATAAAAAAAACACAGACAATAAACATAAAGAAGTATAATCAACTTCACCAATAATCAAGGGAAAACAAACTAACAGTAAGTATCATTTTTCAGCCAAGAGACTGGAAAACTATAATAAACTAGAGGCTCGGTGCACAGATTCTAGAGGGGGGCAGGCCAGGCCAAGGGACCCCACAGGTGCACGATCGGGCCTAGGGAGGGACCAAGGGAGGGCCCCAGGGCATGTCTGGCCCATCTTGCCCAGTCCCAATTGACCAGACCCCAGCAGCAAGCTAACCTGCCAGTTGGAGTGTCTGCCCCCTGGTGGTCAGTGCACATCATAGCAACTGGTCAAACGGTTGAACACTTAGCATATTAGGCTTTTATTATACAGGAAAAGATTTGAAGATATCATGAAGCATGGTGACATTCTGAGAACGTAATTTGGCACAGCCACACTAAAGGACAATTTGGCAGGATCTACTATCCCAAAATTCCTCTCCTACATGTTTACCTAGAGAAGCCCCATCTGCACACACTACACATTACCATGATAGTACAACTATGTTCATTCCAACAGCTTTGTAATAATCAACAACTAGAAACTACTTAAATGCCCCACAGGGGAGTGCCTACAATACCTGAATGTATATGATAGGTGTTAACATCATACATATTCTAGATCTTAAAAACATGTTGTGCCCTATCTAATTTGGCTCAGTGGGTAGAGCATTGGCCTACAGACTGAAAGGTCCTGGGTTCGATTCTGGTCAGGGCATATGCCTAGACTGGAGGCTCTATCCTCAGTGGGGGGTGTTCAGGAGGCAGCCAATCAATGATTCTCTCTCCTCACTGATGTTTCTATCTCTCTCTCCTTCTCCCTTCCTCTCTGAAATCAATAAAAACACTTAAAAAAAACACGTTGAGTTAAAAAGTTGTGGTGTGATATGTATAATACCCATTCATGTAAGAACACACATCATTATATTTTTTATGGATATAAATATGTCTCATACAAAAACCAGGGGTGATGGTCAAGCTGCCTCACCTGGATATCACCTGCTCCCACGCATCACTAGCACTGCGCTCAGAACAGAACACAAGGCTATGACTGCGGGGAGTGGTCTGGGACGGGCCTCTCTGCTAGCTTGATTCTCCCACAGCCTCTCTGCTAGCTTGATTCTCCCACAGCCTCTCTGCTAGCTTGATTCTCCCACAGCCTCTCTGCTAGCTTGATTCTCCCACAGGGGTGTGAAAGTGTCCACAGCAGAGACTGCTTAAGGTTCCTTGAAAAATAAGCTCCTCTTGGTTTTATCCCCTTTCTAAGTAGGGTTCTGGCCGGCTGCCTGGTATAGCCAAGGGCCTCACGCACGCATGAATTGATTCATTCAGTATACATTTATCAACATACATGTATTAAGTTCCTCTACATGCCAGGTTCTATTTAGGGCTGGGAGGACAGTGAATCTTAGTCCTTAGAGAGTTTAGTCTATTCAGGGAGGCAAGTAGGAAGAAAATGACACTGTATTGTGGTCAGAGCGTGGGGGGTCTCGGGAGCATGGAGGACGAGCACCTATATCGGGGCTGAGTGATGTCTGGGGAACTCCAGATGGAGTGCTGCTGGGTCAGGTAAAACAGGACCGCGGCAGAACCCGAGGGCAGCACTAACTTTCCCCACGCTGCTCTCACCAGCCTGGGGGTGGGGGGAGCGTAGAAGACCACCGCCTGCACAGTGAGAGCTTCCACTTAGCGGCTCCTCTGACAGCCGCCTCTCATGCTTCCTCTCGTTGCAACAGCCACCCCCCTACCCCACCAAGCATGAAGAGGAAGGCCCAGGGTCCCTCCCAAACGGCTGCCTTCGCAGGTACCAGCAGCCTGGTTTTCAGTTCTGCCTCTTTACCAAGTCCATGGGGCTGGGGTGACCAGAGAGCCCACTGTACCAGGATTATTCAAGGACCAAGAATT